ATTTTAATTACTGGGATCACCTCAAATTAATTAAATTGTGCTTTCTGGAATGGAGATGATTGATCTCATAATCTAGTATACTTGAAAAATATTTGAAATTCAGGTCCCTAATCTACAAAAATACCAGTGGAATTTATTGAAGTGAAAGATACAGGAGGAAGTATCAAATAAACCCAGTATAGAACAAACCTAATGTCCTCTGTTTGTGCCATAAGGACCTTTATAGAACATTGCATTTCCTTTCAGTACATATGGCTGTTTACCCTCTAGCCAGAAGATCCTGTACTGTATAAGAAAAATTTTCACAGCAAAACAATTCTTCAAGAGGAAATGGGACAAGATTTTGCAGGATGTGTTGGATCATCCAGATTGTGATAGATATAAAAATATGGGGAGAAACAACCTGGCTTATCAGGTGGTCACCAAGAAAGCTTGGCTTTGGGCCTATAGTAATCATGAAAATACACAGTCTCTTGAATCTAGTCCCTGATATATTAAAGTGAGATACTGGCCATAGTATGTGAGCAGCTACTAGTCTAGAGAAAATAAAATACTGGTACAGTGGACCCTCGGTTATCAGCCGTAATCCGTTCCAGAAAGTCAGCCGAAAACCGAAATGGCCGAAAACCGAAATAATATTACCCATGAGAATTAATGGAAATACAATTAATCTGTTCCAGACAAAAATACAGTATTCACAAACAAAAAAAAAATTTTAACAATTATATAAATATTGCATACGTTTATTGAAGACTAATGCTGGCTTCTGGAGGATAGGAAGGAGGAAAGAGGGTGGGCTTAGTGTTTCGAAGGGGAATCCCCCTCCATGAAGACTTCAGGTACCAAGTCCTTATCCAGGGTTTCTTCCCTTCTTGGTCTTTTAATGCCACTAGGACCAGCTTGAGAATCACTGGACCCCTGTCTCACAGAATAACTGTCCAGAGTGCTCTGTTTCTGGTGTCTCTTTAAGATTTCCCTGAAGTGAGACAGGGTTTTGTCACTAAACATGTTGCAGATATGGCTTGTTTCAGCTTTGTCAGGGTGGTACTTCTCGACAAAACTTTGCACATCATTCCACTTTGCACAAATGTCCTTAATCAATGAAGAAGGCACCTCCTTCACTCCCTCTTCCTCCTCCTCTGAAGCAGGTTCCTCAGCTGCAGTCTGTTGCTGTTCAAGTTGAAGCTCTTGCAGCTCTTCAGTGGTTAGCTCTTCCCTGTGGTTCTCCACCAACCCTTCCACATCCTCGCCACTCACCTCCAACCCCAGGGACTTCCTCAGTGCCACAATAGAGTCCACAGGGTCTGCAGGGTCAGGGTCAGCCTCAAACCCTTCAAAATCTCTCTCTTGGACACAATCTGGCCACAGTTTTCTCTAGGCAGAGTTCAAAGTCCTGGAAGTCACTCTCTCCCAAGCCTCACCTATATGGCTTATGCAGTGGAGGACAGTGAAGTGATTCCTCCAGAACTCTCTTAGGGTCAACTGAGTGTCCGAGGTCACTTCAAAGCACTTTTGAAACACTGCTTTTGTGTAGTTTTTTGAAGTTAGAAATGACCTGCTGGTCCATGGGCTGGAGGAGAGGGGTGGTGTTAGGAGGCAAGAACTTCACTTCTATAAAGCAGAAGTCCCTAAACACTTGGTCTTCCAAGTCTGGAGGATGTGCAGGAGCATTGTCCAGTAACAGGAGGCACTTGAGTGGCAATTTCTCTTCCAGGAGGTATTTTTTCACACTTGGGCCAAACACATCATTAACCCACTCTTTGAAAATATGCCTTGTGTCCCATGCCTTATATCGCACACAATCTATTCTTCATGACATTGTTTTTTCTTGAACACTGGGATTTTCTGAGTGATACACGAGTAAAGGCTTCACTTTGAAATCCCCACTAGCATTACCACACAACAAAAGAGTAAACCTGTCTTTCATAGGCTTGTGTAGGACAGTGCCTCTTCCTCCTGAATAATGTAGGTTCTGTTTGGCATTTTCTTCCAAAACAGGCCTGTTTTGTCACAATTGAACACTTGTTGAGGTTCGAATCCTTCAGCCTTTACATAGTCCTGGAATTCGTGAACATACTTTTCAGCTGCACATTTGTCAGAACTTGCAGCCTCACCATGCCTTACAACACTGTATATGCCACTATGCTTCTTAAATCTATCAAACCATCCTTTGCTGGCCCTAAATTCACAAACTGCAGCACTTGTTCCAGGCATTTTCTTTGCAAGATCCTCATGCAACTGCCTTGCCTTCTCACAAATAATCGACTCCACAACACTGTCTCCTATTAATTCTTTTTCCTTAATCCACAATAATAATAACTTTTCCATCTCTTCCTTATTGGTGGCCTTTGTTTAGTTAGAAAAGTTACTCCTTTCACAACATTAGCATGCTTGATTTGTTCTTTCTTTGCCAGGATGGCTGTAATTGTTGATCTATTCTTGCTGTACATCCTGACAAGTTCCAGCACCTTCATACCAGTCTCATATTTTTCAATCACTTCATGCTTAAATTCCATGGTGTTTCTCACTTTCTTTGTCACAGGAGCTTTCTTTGTAGCCATGGTTACTTATTTCACAGTTACACTGCAAAAATAACACAAACTACAATGGGAAATAAGCGAAATGTTTGGATGTATGAGCAGAAGCTTCCTCAGCCACCGAGAGACACAGCCAAACTGGCGTGCAAGTGGCCCCAGCCAGCGGATGGACGCATCCCAGATGGCCTATCACCGAATTAATGGCCAATAACTGGGCGCCGAAAAACCGGCCGATCACTGAGTTGGCCAATAACAGAAGCAGCCAATAACTGGGGGTCCACTGTACTATCTTATACCCATACCTCAAGAAAATCCACTTGCATAAAGACTTGGACTGTCAAGACTTGGAGTATTTCAGCAAACTTCATGTTGAAAAATCGTCCAGTATTTTTTTTTTTTTTTTTCAACTTGTCGGCCATCTCCCACCGAGGCAGGGGTGACCCAAAAAAGAAAGAAAATCCCCAAAAAGAAAATGCTTTCATCATCATTCAACACTTTCACCACACTCACACATAATCACTGTTTTTGCAGAGGTGCTCAGAATACAACAGTTTAGAAGCATATACGTATAAAGATACACAACATATCCCTCGAAACTGCCAATATCCCAAACCTCTCCTTTAAAGTGCAGGCATTGTACTTCCCATTTCCAGGACTCAAGTCCGACTATATGAAAATAAGCGGTTTCCCTGAATCCCTTCACTAAATATTACCCTGCTCACACTCCAACAGATCGTCAGGTCCCAAGTACCATTCGTCTCCATTCACTCCTATCTAACACACTCACGCACTCTTGCTGGAAATCCAAGCCCCTTGCCCACAAAACCTCCTTTACCCCCTCTCTCCAACCCTTTCGAGGACGACCCCTACCTTGCCTTCCTTCCCCTATAGATTTATATGCTTTCCATGTCATTCTACTTTGATCCATTCTCTCTAAATGACCAAACCACCTCAACAACCCCTCTTCTGCCCTCTGACTAATACTTTTATTAACTCCACACCTTTTCCTAATTTCCACACTCCAAATTTTCTGCATAATATTTACACCACACATTGCCCTTAGACAGGACATCTCCACTGCCTCCAACCGTCTCCTCGCTGCTGCATTTACCACCCAAGCTTCACACCCATATAAGAGTGTTGGTACTACTGTACTGTCATACATTCCCTTCTTTGCCTCCATAGATAACGTTTTTTGACTCCACATATACCTCAATGCACCACTCACCTTTTTTCCCTCATCAATTCTATGATTAACCTCTTTCTTCATAAATCCATCCGCCGACACATAAACTCCCAAGTATCTGAAAACATTCACTTCTTCCATACTCCTCCTCCCCAATTTGATATCCAATTTTTCTTTATCTAAATCATTTGATACCCTCATCACCTTACTCTTTTCTATGTTCACTTTCAACTTTCTACCTTTACACACATTCCCAAACTCATCCACTAACCTTTGCAATTTTTCTTTAGAATCTCCCATAAGCACAGTATCATCAGCAAAAAGTAACTGTGTTAATTCCCATTTTGAATTTGATTCCCCATAATTTAATCCCACCCCTCTCCCGAACACCCTAGCATTTACTTCTTTTACAACCCCATCTATAAATATATTAAACAACCATGGTGACATTACACATCCCTGTCTAAGACCTACTTTTACCGGGAAGTAGTCTCCCTCTCTTCTACACACCCTAACCTGAGCCTCACTATCCTCATAAAAACTCTTTACAGCATTTAATAACTTACCACCTATTCCATATACTTGCAACATCTGCCACATTGCTCCTCTATCCACTCTATCATATGCCTTTTCTAAATCCATAAATGCAATAAAAACTTCCCTACCTTTATCTAAATACTGTTCACATATATGCTTCAATGTAAACACTTGATCTACACATCCCCTACCCACTCTGAAACCTCCTTGCTCATCCGCAATCCTACATTCTGTCTTGCCTCTAATTCTTTCAATTATAATCCAGGATTAATTAATTAATTAATTAATTAATTAATTAATCATCCAGGATTAGTAACTACAAATAACATACAAAAGCAAAGTTAGATGACTTGTAGCTCCGTGGTAGCCCCTTAGGCCACAATCACAGGACCCTGAGTTCAATTCTGGGTGAATTGAGATGGCAGTTTTTCTGTTTATCTAGCACTAAATGCATACCTGGGTGTTAATTCACCACCATGGGTATCTGCTGAGGGAGGAAAGGCTGTTGTACCTTCACTGGATCAGGGCTTACTCAAAGGAAAATAATGTTATTGATGGCATGCCTGTTCCATTGTTTCTCTTGGAAATACCTTGCCTTCCTCTCACCCACTTGAAACAATTCCATTAGATGTTGGTTATATCTTTATTTCTGCAAATTTGGCTATTTTTAATTATGAGGAAATGATACAGTAATTATATTTGTTTATTTATTATATCTTGGCTGATTTTTTATTTTTCAGGGCATGGAACCTACTTGATGACAGCTCAGAGAGATAAACCATTTTTGCAGGCTTGGGCCATTCATCGTCATGAGGCATTACAGATAAGACTTGTTGTGCCAGGGAAGGTTAATGCTATGGCTATCAGTGCCACAGGTCCAAAATATTGTGTCACTGGTCAGTATTATTAAATTTTGTGTCGTTGATTGTAAGTGTGACAGACAGTAAATTATTCATAGATGGATAAAACCACATTGAGTACTGTAATTTGTTAATTCCCTTATCTTGGCTTGGTCAATACACAACTAAACAGTGATGGCTTTATTGAGAATAGAGAACACTCCAAATACACAGTATTACAAGTGTACTCACATTTGCTTGGTTCATTTCAGTTCATTAATCATCACTCAACTGAACAGGATCAGTCCTGTAATTAATTCACAATACAGTGGTACCTTGACTTACGAGTTTAATTTGTTCCATGACCGAGCTCTTAACTCAATCTGCTTATATATCAAATCAATTTTCCTCACTGAAATTAATTGAAATGCCATTAATCTGTTCCAGCCCCCAAAAAACCACTCCAATTTTTTTCTTATGGGTTTTTAAATAAGAAAAATGTATTTATAAATAAGAAATGATATTTGCCTTTATTGCCAGGTCTCAGCAATGCTTTAGAAATGCTGGAGTATTATGTATCAAACTCCTTGAAGCACAATGTAAGATGAATGTCACTCCACTGCCAGTGGAGTGACATTTGATGATCGTGCACTGCCTTGGCTTTATTTTTCACTGTTACACATAACATGTCTGTCTATTTGTCTGTCTGTCTAGCTCTGTGTTTGTCTCTGCTTATCTGTCTTTCTGTCTGCCTGTGTCTCTGTCTTCCAGTCTCTCTACTTGTCTCTCTGTCTCAGAGAGAGTTGCTCATGAACCAACAGGTATTACACACAATGCAGAGTGGGTCACGTCTGATTCCGGAACAAGTGAAAATGTGTATTACTTGGCATTCATGCTTATTATGCCTTATATCTACAAGCATAGTAGAGCACTTTGTCTGGATTTTTTGGGTTATCCTAGGTAATTTACACTATGTATAACTGTATTTATGTGTACCTGTGAGATAGAGACAGACAGAGATAGAGACAGAGATAGAGAAAGAGATAAAGAGATAGAAACAGAAATAGAGACAGAGATAAAGAGATGGAGACAAAGATAGAGAAAGAGACAGAGATAGAGGCAGAGATAGAGATACAGATAGACACACAGAGAGAGACACAAATAGACAGAGACATAGATACAGACAGACAGGAGATAGAGACAGCCAAAGCAAATCAGCCAGCCAGCCACCCAATCAGCCAGCCTGTCGAACATGTATTACACATGTTCCAGAACTGTTTCTCTTTACTTAGGGTATACGTTATAGAACATTCTGGCAGGATGACACTACCAGTGGTATCAAAATTGAAAGGATGTTATACATTGGTTATTATCAAGGTTTTTGATATTTCCTCTTTCCTGCGATTGGCGGCATATCTGAAGCTCGCTTGCAACTCGGATTTTGGCTCGCAACTCGAAACAAAAAATCAACCGAGCAACGGCTCGTAACTCAGAAAACTCGTAAGTTGGGGCACTCGTAAGTCAAGGTACCACTGTATTCCACAATACATCCCTGATACTGGGCTATCTTACCATGATGGCAGGGTTTGACCAAGAACTCAGAAGATATGACTCAGCAACCCAGTTTTCAGCCTAAATAGCAGGCTCATTCATCTTTTTGGCAGTTTTCTATGACTTACAGCATATGACTTGTAATGAATTATGGACATGGGTTTGACTAACTAATAAACCTAGGAATCTGTCATATGACAGTAACTTGGTCACAATAGAATCAGATTTTTACAGAAGTGTTGGTAATAGCAAATTGTTAATCATGCTGAAAGTTGATAATGATGTCAGAGAATTAATAATGATGTTAATAGATTTATGTTAAAAGCATTGAATTGAATAACCAAATGGTTTTAGTGCTTTGTAAATCATACAACTCTTTAATACTAACACTGGTGACCTTGTTCACCTAGCAGTAAATTGGTGGTACCTAGGTGTGAGCCAACTAGTGATAGTAATTTGTTGTAAGAAAATGGATATTAGGTCAAATGGTCAGAAGCACACATCATGGGAAAGTTCAAACATGTTTCTGCTTGTTTTATACAAGTTTTATTTCCTGTATTTATCACACTATAATATATACTATCACTGGCTTCACTGCCAGTTGCTATCTGGAATACTATACAACAAAACCACTAGTGCTCTTTTCCCATTAATTAATATATTCTTGCCATGATACATACATATTTTTACTAATTCCCATTATGAGATGGAATACATGCAGATTTTTTATTAGTTATAAATTTGGTTCATAAGATCCAAGGTATTCACTGCCCAGGAATACATCATGTTGAGCATAGTTCAATGGTTAAGAAAAAAAGCCCAATTCTTGACAAAAATTAAGTGAAAGTACTTCTGCAGTACTAAATTAACATTTGTATATTTTATAAAATAGGATTTTTTCATTCATATGTTCATGTTTTGGTTAACACTGGCTGCCAACCTCTAAACTCAAACCTTCAAAAGATCTACAAATAAATGGGTAGATATGCAAATCAATCTGTAGGACCCTGACAAATCATCAACACATGAATGCACTAGCAAATAAGTTTTACTGTACAGTGCCATACAATAAGTAGTAGTATTATAATTACGGTATTTTTATTAAAGTGCCAAACCTATGGGTCATACTGCAGTACTGTATATAAAATTTGGGTATACTGTATGAGGTTTGAGTGACTCAAAATCATAACATAACTGTAAACAAATGGAATAAATCAGATTGCTGCCACAGGTTTAACCCCATCCCCCACTCATTCTCTGATTTGAAGTGTGAATATCTGTACTTAAATTTTACAAAACTTTAATGTTTGAGTGTGAGCAAGGTAACATTTATGTAGGAATTCAGGGAAAATGGATAGACTGGACTGGCCTGGAGGTGAAAAGTAGAGTGCCTGCACTCAGGAGGGATGAAGATGTTGCAGTTCGGAGGGTCATATGAGCTATGATGTCGGCACACTTCTGACAGGACAGCAATTGAATGAATGACAGCAAATGCATCCCCCCTCCTTTGGGGAGTCACCCAATCTCTGTGGGGGACTGCTAGTGTGTTAAAAAAATTAGTGTCAGTGTACAGTGTTATAATTGTCTGTCTAGTTAACATGAATAATTGTTCAATTTTTCATCTTCCTGCTACAGTCTCAAAACAATCAGCACTGGGTACAAAATTTACAGCAGCATTCATCAGGTATCAAATTTATTAATGCCATTCTGACACAAACAAACCTATACTTCACACAAACTTTAGCAGATTTTTATTTGTACTTTAGCATTTTTTTCTTGTTTCAGCAATTAATGAAAAGTTATATATATACAAATTATTGTCTGGTCGTCTTCTTGGTGTTGCTAGCCGACACTACCAGCCAGTTACTCGTCTTGTATTCACTCCGTGTGGCAATTACTTTGCATCTGGTGGTGAAGATGGTTTTGTGTATCTATGGAGCTTGGCCAGTTTTATTGAAGCATTACACAAATATGATGCCCCACAGGTGCAACCACACTGTATCCTTGGTCAACATTCTGACACGGTAATTAAAAACCATTAATAAATTTATTATTGTAAATGAATTGAATGAGTTTTATATCTCACCATAGTATTGCTGATAGTGCTCAAAGTGTACTGCAATTATTATATCTTCCTTCATTAATCTTTTTTTTTTTTTTTTTTTTTTTTCAACAAGTCGGCCGTCTCCCACCGAGGCAGGGTGACCCAAAAAAGAAAGAAAATCCCCAAAAAGAAAATACTTTCATCATCATTCAACACTTTCACCACACTCGCACATTATCACTGTTTTTGCAGAGGTGCTCAGAATACAACAGTCTAGAAGCATAAACATATAAAGATACACAACATATCCCTCCAAACTGCCAATATCCCAAACCCCTCCTTTAAAGTGCAGGCATTGTACTTCCCATTTCCAGGACTCAAGTCCGACTATATGAAAATAACCGGTTTCCCTGAATCCCTTCACTAAATATTACCCTGCTCACACTCCAACAGATCGTCAGGTCCCAAGTACCATTCGTCTCCATTCACTCCTATCTAACACGCTCACGCACGCTTGCTGGAAGTCCAAGCCCCTTACCCACAAAACCTCCTTTACCCCCTCTCTCCAACCCTTTCGAGGACGACCCCTACCCCGCCTTCCTTCCCCTATAGATTTATATGCTTTCCATGTCATTCTACTGTGATCCATTCTCTCTAAATGACCAAACCACCTCAACAACCCCTCTTCTGCCCTCTGACTAATACTTTTATTAACTCCACACCTTCTCCTAATTTCCACACTCCGAATTTTCTGCATAATATTTACACCACACATTGCCCTTAAACAGGACATCTCCGCTGCCTCCAACCGTCTCCTCGCTGCTGCATTTACCACCCCAAGCTTCACACCCATATAAGAGTGTTGGTACTACTATACTTTCATACATTCCCTTCTTTGCCTCCATAGATAACGTTTTTTGACTCCACATATACCTCAACGCACCACTCACCTTTTTTCCCTCATCAATTCTATGATTAACCTCATCCTTCATAAATCCATCCGCCGACACGTCAACTCCCAAGTATCTGAAAACATTCACTTCTTCCATACTCCTCCTCCCCAATTTGATATCCAATTTTTCTTTATCTAAATCATTTGACACCCTCATCACCTTACTCTTTTCTATGTTCACTTTCAACTTTCTACCTTTACACACATTCCCAAACTCATCCACTAACCTTTGCAATTTTTCTTTAGAATCTCCCATAAGCACAGTATCATCAGCAAAAAGTAACTGTGTCAATTCCCATTTTGAATTTGATTCCCCATAATTTAATCCCACCCCTCTCCCAAACACCCTAGCATTTACTTCCTTTACAACCCCATCTATAAATATATTAAACAACCATGGTGACATTACACATCCCTGTCTAAGACCTACTTTTACCGGGAAGTAGTCTCCCTCTCTTCTACACACCCTAACCTGAGCCTCACTATCCTCATAAAAACTCTTTACAGCATTTAATAACTTACCACCTATTCCATATACTTGCAACATCTGCCACATTGCTCCTCTATCCACTCTATCATATGCCTTTTCTAAATCCATAAATGCAATAAAAACTTCCCTATCTTTATCTAAATACTGTTCACATATATGCTTCAATGTAAACACCTGATCTACACATCCCCTACCCACTCTAAAACCTCCTTGCTCATCCGCAATCCTACATTCTGTCTTACCTCTAATTCTTTCAATTATAACCCTACCGTACACTTTTCCTGGTATACTCAGTAAGCTTATTCCTCTATAATTTTTACAGTCTCTTTTGTCCCCTTTCCCTTCATTAATCATTGTCATTATTTTTTTTTATTTTCAAAACAAAGCTTAGTGCAGTTAATTTTTTTTTTTTTTTTTTTTGGACAGGTCAGGGGCACTTTATATGGCTATATTTTCTTGCCTGTGCATCTTTGTGTTTTACTTCTACCATTTGTATTAATTTATGCTTGCTGAGGCACTCTTCATTTATTAAGAGTTGTACAGCTCATTAGTAACCTTTAAACTTATCAATTAGATTTACTTGTTTTTTTATCTTTAGGTAATAAATATGGACATGTTATCCTTAGAAATTTGCTATTTTAAAATGATTTCTTTAGGTGACAGATTTGGCTATGACATCTTGTGGCATAAGGGGATTCCTTGTATCTTCATCACTGGATCATACTGCTCGGGTATTTGACTTAATGACTGGACGTCTCATGTATACTTTAGTTACTGCTGTTGGTGTGACCAGTGTAGCATGTAACAGTTTAGGTTCACAGTTGTTCTTGGGTCATAGTGATGGTACAATCAATATAGTGAACCTACTGCCAGCTCCTCTACATGGGGATGTTCAAGTAAGTGGTGCTGTAAAATAAGATGTATATTATTTTCTAACTGTGCACTCTTTGCCATGCTAGCATTAGTAACTGTACATAGTCTCCAATGTTAAATCAGACATTTCTTGAATACTGTTACAACTTTTGAAACTATTGGCTTATTAAGTTTTTTTATTATTAACACATCGGCCATTTCTAACCGAGGCAAGGTGACCCAAAAAAGAAGAAACACTTTCAATCATCACTCAATCCATCACTGTCTTGCCAAAGGCATGCTGATACTATGGTTAAAAAAAAACTGCAGCATATTTACACCCCTCCTTCAGAGTGCAGGCACTGTATTTCTCACCTCCAGGACTCAAATCCTGTCTTTTTAGTAAAATATTTGCAGAAAAAATCTAAATTTTTGGCCTCATACTAAACATAAAGGTTTAATCTTATTTCATTATATATGTAGCAGCTCTTGTTTTCAGTAATTAATTCTAGTCCATTATGTAGCCTTCATGTCTGATGTAATAAATCTAGTGGATGCAGATTTTTTGGAAAAATACATGGGTATAAATATTTTGCAATATCATAAAATATAGTGTATTTTATGATTTTTTGTAAAACAAAAAGTCAGTATAATTATGTATATTATAGCAACTTTTGTAATGACTCCCATACCAACAACTGACAGAGGTTAACCATACCAAAGTTTGTTCAAATCAGTAACATTGTTTTGGTCTGTTAATAAGTCATTTTGATATTGAAAGGGACTAACAACTGTTATCAGTCAGAATATTTGTACAACATTGTAATAATCAGTGAATATATAATCCTTACTGACTCATAAGTTCATGACCAAAATGAATAAAAAAAGGGAATTATTAGATGGGGAGTTGTGAAGATGGCAGGACCATTTTGAGGAGCTGTTAAATACTGATGAAGAAAGGGAGACCCTGATTTCATGCATTGACCAGGGAGGAATAACATCCTTTAGGAATGAGAAAGAGCTAGTTGTGAATGTGATGGAGGTGCATGAGGCAGTGGGTAGAATGAAAGGAGGGGGAGCAAAGCAGCTGGGATTCATGGTATTAAGACAGAAATGTTAAAAGTAGGTGGAGATATAATTTTGGAGTGGTTGGTACTTATGCTCAATAAATGCATGAAAGAGGGAAAGGTACCTAGGGACTGGCAGAGAGCATGCATAATCCCTTTGTATAAAGGAAAGGGGACCAAAAGTGTAAAAATTATAGAGGAATAAGCCTGTTGAGTATACTAGATAATGCGTATGTTAAAAGCTATTATTGAAAGAATTAAGGGTAAGACAGAGAGAGCAGGATTGCAGATAAACAAGGAGACTTTAGGAAGGGTAGGGGATGTGTAGATCAAGTGTTTACATTGAAGAATATAAATGAACAGTACAGTGGAACCTCGATATACAACCAGCTCCCTACTTGAACAAAGCTCAGCACTTGACGAAATAAATACGTCCTGCCAGTACTTCGCTATAAACTATTTTGTGTTTCTTTGCATTTTTTTTTCTTTTTTTGTATTGTATAAATTAGTCACCATGGGGCCTACGACAATTAGTGATAACAGCCAACCAAACAGAAAATTAGTTGGGAAGAACTTGTGCGATACTCAAACGGAGTGGCACTCAAACAACCTTCTGGAATGAATTAAGGTCACATACCGAGGTTCCACTGTATTTAGATAAAGGTGAAAAGGTTTTGTTGCATTCATGGATTTAGAAAAAGTATATGAGAGAGTAGCAATGTGGCAGATGTTGCGAGTACAGTAGGGCCCTGCTTTACAGCGTATTGCCTTATGGCGTTCCGCTAATGCAGACATTTAAAATTTGACCAAAACTTGCTATATAGCTCCCTCCACCTGACTTTCTAATACGGTCACCTTGTGTCACCCGGTTTGTTTACATTCTCCGTGAGCACATTTCTCCATTATGTCTGGAAACTTTCCAAAATTCCAGGTGTTTTAAAGTTATTTCATGTTTTATATATACAGTGGACCCTCGGCCAATGATGGCATCGTATAACGTTAAATCCAACTAGTGATACATTTTAATGCAAAAATTTTGCCTCAACTAGCGCTAAAAAACTCGACCAACGCGATTTGTTCCGTTCGAGATGCGTCCGCGTGTGGCCTGAGCGCGCCTCACTTGTCTCGTGGGTGCCAGTGTTTACAAGCCAGCCACCGCAGTCGCATCCAAACATACAAACATACAATCAGAACATTTCATATTATCACAGCATTTTTAGTGATTGCACCTGCAAAATAAGTCACCATGGGCCCCAAGAAGCTTCTAGTGCCAACCCTGTGATAAAAAGGGTGAGAATTAGTATGGAAATTAAGAAAGATTTTGAAGGGTTTGGGGCTAACCCTGAGAAACCTATGCCAGTTGTGGAATCCATTGTGCCTACTTCAAAGATTAAGGAAATGTGTGCAAAGTGGGTTGAACTGCAAACCTTTATGGATGAAAGTCACCCTAACACAGCTATTGCAAGCCGTGCTGGTGACTATTACAGTGACAATGTTATGGTCCATTTTAGTCAAATCTTAAAGGATAGGGAGGTACAGAGCTCTATGGACAGATATGTTATGCGACAGAGGTCCAGTGACTCTCAAGCTGGTCCTAGTGGCATTAAAAGAAGAAGGGAAGTAACCCCAGAAAAGGACTTGACTCCTCAAGTCCTAATGGAAGGGGATTCCCCTTCTAAACACTAACACCATCCACACACTCCCCTCCTCCCATCCCATCAGTCATCACCAGATCTTCAATAAAGGTAAGTGTCATGTAATTGTACATGTCTTCTTCAGTTTGTGTGTATTAAAATTAATATTTCATGTGGTAAAATTTTTTTTTTTTTCAATAATTTGGAGTGTCAGGAACGGATTAATTTGATTTCCATTATTTCTTATGGGGAAAATTAACTCGACCAACGATAATTTCGACTAACGATGAGCTCTCAGGAACGGATTAATATCGTTGGTCGAGGGTCCACTGTATATTGGTACTGCCTGTCCCAGCTACTGGACCACTATAACAAGGTCCTGGATGCTATAGAGGATAAACAAAATGCAGATGTAGTATACACAGACTTTTCGAAAGCCTTCAACAAGTGCGACCGTGGTGTAATAGCGCACAAAATGCGTGATAAAGGAATAACAGAAAATGGTAGATGAATCTATAACTCCCTAACAAGTAGAACACAGAAAGTAATAGTAAACAGAGTAAAGTCTGAGGCAGCTACGGTGAAAAGCTCTGTTCCACATGGCACAGTACTCGCTCCCATCCTATTCCTCATCCTCATATCTGATACAGTGGACCCCCGGTTCGCGAAGTCATCGGTATCCGATAAATCCGGTATCCGAAGCATTATATCGCAAAAAATATGCCTCGGTTCCTGTTACAAAACCCGGTATGCAGTACGATTCGTATGAGACGTGTCCATGTGTGGCCTGAACTGCCCCATGTGTGCCAGTGTTTACAAGCCAGCCAGTGTGCGCGCATCTAAGGATACATTCAGTACATTCCATATTATCCATATTATCACTGTTTTTGGTGTTTGTTTCTGCAAAATAAGTCACCATGGGGCCCCAAGAAAGCTTCTAGTGCCAACCCATCGAGACCAAGGGTGCTAATGACTATTGAAATGAAGAAAGAGATAATTGCAAAGTATGAAAGTGGAGTGCATGTGTTGTATAGTAAATCCCAATCAACCATCTCTACTATAGTGAGCAGGAAAAATGGCAATCAAGGAAGCTGTTCTTGAAAAAGGTGCAACTGTGATTACAAAACAGTGATCGCAAGTGTTAGAAAATATTGAGAGACTGTTATTGGTGTGGATAAATGAAAAACAGATAGCAGGAGATAGCATCTCTCAAGCGATCATTTGTGAAAAGGCTAGGCAGTTGCATGAGGATTTAATTAGAAAAATGCCTGCAACTAGTGGTGATGTGAGTGAATTTAAGGCCAGCAAAGGTTGGTTTGAAAGATTTAAGAATCGTAGTGGCATACATAGTGTGATTAGGCATGGTGAGGCTGCCAGTTCAGACCAAAAAGCAGCTGAAAAATATGTGCATGAATTCAAGGAGTACATAGAGGCTGAAGGATTGAAACCTAAACAAGTGTTTAATTGTGACGAAACAGGCCTGTTTTGGAAGAAATTGCCAAGCAGGACTTACATTACTCAGGAGGAAAAGGCACTCCCAGGACATAAGCCAATGAAAGACAGACTTACTCTTATGATGTGTGCCAATGCTAGTGGTGATTGCAAAGTGAAGCCTTTATTGGTGTATCACTCAGAAACTCCCAGAGCGTTCAGGCAAAAGAATATCCTCAAAGCTAATTTGTGTGTGTTGTGGAGGGCAAACACTAAGGCATGGGTCACTAGGGACTTTTTCTATGACTGGTTGCACCATGCATTTGCCCTCAATATGAAAAATTACCTAATTGAAAAGAAATTAGACCTTAAGTGCCTCCTGGTGTTAGACAATGCCCCTGGTCATCCTACAGACTTGGCAGAGCGACTTTGTGGGGACATGAGCTTCATTAAGGTCAAGTTTTTGCCTCCTAATACCACTCCTCTCCTGCAGCCCATGGACCAGCAGGTCATTTCCAACTTCAAGAAACTGTACACAAAAGCTATGTTTGAAAGGTGCTCTGAAGTGACCACAGATACTCTATTGACTCTAAAGGAGTTTTGGAAGGATCACTTTAATATCCTCAATTGTGTAAACCTTATAGGTAAGGCTTGGGAGGGAGTGACTAAGAGGACCTTGAACTCTGCTTGGAAGAAACTGTGGCCAGAATGTGTAGACAAAAGGGATTTTGAAGGGTTTGAGGCTAACCCTGGGAATCCTATGCCAGTTGAGGAATCCATTGTGGCATTGGGAAAGTCCTTGGGGTTGGAGGTTAGTGGGGAGGATGTGGAAGAGTTGGTGGAGGAGGACAGTGATGAACTAACCACTGATGAGCTGCTCGATCATCTTCAACAGCAAAGAGGCCAGACCTG